ACACTCTGAATGTTATGAAATAGACCACAATGGAGAGCCAGACTGAGAAATGTCTCCTAGATCAGTTTCTATCTGAAGAGTACAAGTGATATAATAATAATAATAATCCTTGCATTTGATATAGCGCTTTTCACGTCTTCTAGACAACAACAACAAGATTCCATTTATAGAGCACCTTTCACGTCGGGAGGACGTCCCAAGGCGCTTGTACAGTTGGGTCAGGACCCGAGCCTTGGGGGGAAATGGTCAGGGTGAGGGGAGGGAAGGGAGGGAGTGAGGAGGGGGTAGAGAGTCGAGAGGGGAGCTGAAGGCACGGTCAAAGAGAAAGGTCTTGAGACCAGCCTTGAAGGAGGAAAGGGAGGAAGCAAGGCGAAGGCATTGGGGATAGAGTTCCAGAGCCTCGGGGCTGAGAGGCTGAAGGCCCGGCCACCGATGGTAGGGCGGTTGGGGCGGGGGATGTGGAGCAGACCGGAGCCAGAGGAACGGAGGGTACGGGCAGGTAAGTAGGGGGACAGTAGGTCAGAGGGGTAGGGGGGAGCGAGGCCTTGAATGGCCTTGTAGGTGATGATGTGGATCTTGAATTCGATCCTCTGGGGGATGGGGAGCCAGTGGAGGCGAGCGAGGGTGGGAGTGATGTGGTCACGAAGCCTGGTGCGGGACAGTACACGAGCTGCAGACTTCTGAATGACCTGCAGTGTGGAGGGAGGTGGCGGGAAGGCCGGCGAGGAGAGTTTCTATAGTCCAGCCTTGAGGTGATAAAGGCGTGGACCAGAGTTTCAGTCGTGTGAGGGATGAGGTAGTGCCGTAGTCTGGCGATGTTCCGGAGGTGATGGAAGGCGGTGCCAGTTGTGGTGCGGATGTGAGGGAGAAAGGATAGCTCAGGGTCGAACAGAACCCCGAGGTTCCTGATGGCTTTGAGAGGTGGAGAGTGCAGCCTTGGATGCTGATGCTGTCAGCGCCTGAGGTGCGGAGGCGCTAACGTGAGCCAATCAGGAAGGCCTCAGTTTTACGCACGTTGAGCTGAAGAAAGTTGTCTCTCGTCCCTGAGGGACACCGCACTAGACAGTGCGGGGGTGGAGGAAAAGCCATTCGTGGAAACAAAGTGAAGACGGTGGGAGAGGTACGACCTAAACCACTCAAGGACAGGGCCTTGAAGGTTGAGGTGGGAGGACAAGCGGTGGAGGAGGATAGAGTGGTCGACCGTATCGAATGCTGCCGATAGGTCAAGGAGGACGAGGAGGCAGAGGGAGTCCTGGTCACAGATGGTCAGGATGTCATTGGTGACCTTGACCAGGGCAGTTTCTGTGCTATGGGCAGCACGGAAACCCGACTGAAGGGGTTCGAATAATGAATGGGTGGAGAGGAAAGAGCGCAGCTGGGAGGCGACAACTCGTTCAAGGACCTTTGGCAGGAAGGGGAGGTTGGAGATGGGCCGGTAGCTTGATAGCTGCGACGCATCAAGGGAGGGTTTTTTCAAGGTGGGAGTGATGATGGCAGTTTTTAAGGGAATGGGAACGGAGCCAGAGGAGAGGGACAGGTTGACAATGTCTGTGATATGTGTGGCAAGGAGGTGGAGCTGGGAGATAAGGAGTGGTGTGGGGATGGGGTCAAGGGAGCAGATGGTGGGTTTCAGGGATAGGATGAGTTTGGTGACAGAGGGTGGGGAAACGGGTACGAAAGTGTGTAGGGGAGGATGGGTAGGAGTCGGAGTGTGGGAGGGAGGGGGTGGGGGGTGGGTGGAGGTTGGAGGGGAAGTGACCGTGGAGCGGATTCCCTTGATTTTGGATTCAAGGAAATCCAGCATCTCCTCACAGTGAAGGTTGGAGGAGATGACCTGCGCGGGGTGGCGGGGGGGACGGAGGAGTTGGGATGTGGTAGAAAACAGAAGCCTGGGGTTGTTCTTCACCTCCAAGATTGTCCTGGAGTAGAAGGACGGCTTGGCTGAGGCTAGAGTGGAGCGGTAGATTTTGAGGAGGTCCAGCCAGATTTGTCGGTGGACCGTTAGGCCAGATTTGACGTAGGTGCGTTCAGCGGTCCGCACCGGGCTCTTCAGTGAGCGGAGGTGGGTGGTGAACCAGGGGGAGGAGCGAGAGTAGGAGACAGTACAGGAGGTAATGGGGGCAAGAGTGTCGAGTGTGGAGGAGAGGGTGTTGTGGAGGAGGGTGAGAGGAGAAGAGGGGTCAGTGAGACGTCCCAAAGCGCTTCACAGAATATACTGTAAAGTGAATTGACTGTATATGTGTGGGCGAATGCGGCAGCCAATTGCGCACAGCAATATCCCACAAACAGTCGTGGATTGAAAATGACCAATTTATCATTATTTATTTATTATTTATTTATTATTGTTTTGTTTTTTTGGAGAGATTTTGGAGGAGTGTGGAGTAAGGAAACTTGCCCAAGGTTTCGCCCTCTGCCTGGAATTGAACTCAGGTCTCTCGCTTGCAAACCGAGTGCTCTAACCACTGAGCTACAGGACTCCTTGGTATGGTAAGTGATATAGCAAGGAAGGATTAATAACACTAATACTGGCACTTTTGTTTAGTCTCGGGCCAGTTTCAGCTTTGCATATATATCCATGGTTACTCATCAACCGAAACCAAACTCAGAACATCGCTCAGAAGTAGCTGGGAACAGTCAGCAGATTAGGCAGCTTCCATGGAGAAAGGAAAGTGAATCAAGGTTTCTCCATAGATGCTGCCTGACCTGCTGACTTTTCCCAGCGACTTCCGTTTTTGTTTCAGATTTCCAGCATCTGTAGTATCTTGCATTTTGTTCAGAACAAATCAATCTTTCTGAAAAACATCATAAATGATCTTCCTTTACTTGGCTGTTAAAGGAAAAAAACAGTATTTTTATAAACAATTTTAACGTTTAAGCACCAGAAACACAGGAGAAAAATAGCAGTGAACTCTGAACCGTTTGCCCTTGAGATTCAATCCTCCAACTTAAAATGAACACTTCCCACCACTGCCAAAATGTGGCTGAAGAATGAATGGCTCCTCGGTGTAAAAACCCCCACGTATACACACTGAGAAACAAGGCGATAGAACCACCAGGAAACACATAAACACAAGTTACAGCATTGCCCCAAGAACAGACATTGATACTCACACACATTTATAATGTGTATATCATATAATATATACCAAAAAGCCAATTTATGGTAGAAGGCATAAGGAGCCCAAACATTTAGTGCCCCAGAACCTCAGTGAGACTCTTGACCATTTTATTCCCTCCTTAAAACACAAGAAGTTGAAAAACATAAAACAATCAATATAGTTCATGAAAAGAAAATTGACATTTTTCCTCGACCAGGCAATCACACACCATATCTTCGGAAATAAAACTTTTAATTATAACAAACTGTATGTGTATATATAGATGTATAACACATCCCCAAAAATACACTATTCTTTTCTCTCCCGAAAGTAAACCATGACACATCTGAGCAAGCTGTGCTGAGTTTTTTGTCTTTTAATTATTTACACACACATTATATCTCCCGAAAACGCCAGTATTTTTCTCTCCCAAAGGGGTGTGTGAGAGCATTTGTGTTTATTATTACTATTGACCTTAAACTTGGTGGTTCCCACAGAGTGGTTGCGTAAGAAAGTGAATGTGTCTGTCACAACTCCGCCCTGTCTGTCTGTCTGTCTGTGTCTCTGTCTGTCTGTCTGTCTGTCTGTGTCTCTGTCTGTCTGTCTGTGTCTCTGTCTGTCTGTCTGTCTGTCTGTGTCTCTGTCTGTCTGTCTGTCTGTGTCTGTCTGTCTGTCTGTCTGTGTCTGTCTGTCTGTCTGTGTCTCTGTCTGTCTGTCTGTCTGTGTGTCTGTCTGTGTCTGTCTGTCTGTGTCTCTGTCTGTCTGTCTGTCTGTCTGTGTCTGTCTGTGTCTGTCTGTCTGTGTCTGTCTGTCTGTCTGTCTGTGTCTGTCTGTCTGTGTCTGTCTGTCTGTGTCTGTCTGTGTCTGTCTGTCTGTGTCTGTCTGTGTCTGTCTGTCTGTCTGTGTCTGTCTGTCTGTGTCTGTCTGTGTCTGTCTGTCTGTCTGTGTCTGTCTGTCTGTGTCTGTCTGTGTCTGTCTGTCTGTGTCTGTCTGTCTGTGTCTGTCTGTCTGTGTCTGTCTGTGTCTGTCTGTCTGTGTCTGTCTGTCTGTGTCTGTCTGTGTCTGTCTGTCTGTGTCTGTCTGTCTGTGTCTGTCTGTCTGTGTCTGTGTGTCTGTCTGTCTGTGTCTGTCTGTCTGTGTCTGTCTGTCTGTGTCTGTCTGTGTCTGTGTGTCTGTCTGTCTGTGTCTGTCTGTCTGTGTGTCTGTCTGTCTGTGTCTGTCTGTCTGTGTCTGTCTGTCTGTCTGTCTGTATCTGTCTGTCTGTCTGTGTCTGTCTGTGTCTGTCTGTCTGTCTGTCGTCTGTCTGTGTCTGTCGGTGTCTGTCTGTGTCTGTCTGTCTGTGTCTGTCTGTCTGTCTGTGTCTGTCTGTGTCTGTCTGTCTGTGTCTGTCTGTCTGTGTCTGTCTGTCTGTCTGTGTCTGTCTGTCTGTCTGTCTGTGTCTGTCTGTCTGGCTCTATAGGAACACAACACACACTCTCTACTCTCTTTGCCCTCTCTCGCGCGCACTCTCACACTCACTCTCTCTCCTCTCTCTCTCACACTCTCTCTCTCGCTCTCTCACACACACTCTCTCCTCTCGCTCTCTCACTCTCTCTCTCACACTCTCTCTCTCCTCTCACTTTCTCTCTCTCTCTCTCACACTCTCTCTCTCCTCTCGCTCTCTCACTGTCCTCTCGCTCTCTCTCTTCTCTCTCACACACTCTCTCTCTCTCCTCTCGCTCTCTCTCACACTCTCTCTATCTCACACACTCTCCTCTCTCTCTCACACTCTCTCTCTCTCTCTCTCCTCTCTCACACTCTCTCTCTCTCACACCCACAGACAGTGTTTTCCGGCGCCACAATAAAACTTCTCCATTAATGTGTGTTTGAGGCGAGTCAATAATAATCAGATTCCAGACTCACCTCTTCCCGCGGCTCCGCGTCCCTCAGCGGCGGCGGCGGCGGCTCGAGCTGAGCCTCGAACTTCGACTCAACCGCCACCGCGCGCGCTGTGTCTCACCCGCACCGACTGAGCAGCGCTCGGGAAGAGCGGCCGCCGCCACCACAGAGGAAAAGCCTGTAACGTGGCCCCGCAGCGCCATCTGCTGCACAGGATGAGGCATTGCCTCATTTCATTAAATTTTGCTGCAATTTAAAAGCCACCTTTTGCAGCCAATCCCAAATCCGCACTGTCCCCCTCCTCCCCCTCTCTCCCCATCTCTCTCTCTCCTTAGTCATCCCTCTGGATCCCTAAGAAAATTGGGATTAAAATAAAACAGAAAAAGGAGCCTTATGACAAATGTCAGGTCCAAAACCCACAGGATAATCAAATAGAATATAGGAAGTACAGAGGAGAAGTGAAAAGGGAAATAAGAAGGGCGAAGAGATTGTACGAGAAAAGATTAGATTATAAGGTGTGTAGTGGTGTCCCTCGGGGACCACTGCTCTTTCTGATCTATATTAATGACCTGGATATACGGAGCACAATTTTCAAATTTGCAGAAGATACTAAGTCAGGAAAAGTAGTTAATGGTGAGGAGGATAGCACCAGCCTCCAAGAGGACTTAGACAGATTGGTCAAATGGGCAGAAACGCGGCAGATGAGGTTTAATGTGGAGAAATGCGAAGTGTTGCGTTTTGGTAGGAAGAATGAGGAGAGGCAATATAAGCTGATGGTACAATCTTAAAGGGGGCAAATGAACAGAGAGACCTGGGGGTCCACATCAGCAAATCTCTGAAGATGGCCGGACAGGTAATAAAGCTGTTAAAAAAGCATCCGGGATACTCGGCTTTATAAATAGGGGCATAGAATACACAAGTCAGGAGGTTATGTTGAATATTTCTCAAATGCTGGTTAGGCCTCAGTTGTGAGTACTGTATACTCAGTTGGAGTACATGCACAACAAAAAAATAATTTGGCAATATTGATTGTACTCCGAGCGCGAGGCGCTATTGATGGACGGACTGACTGGACTTTCTTGCAAAACGATTCCTCCCTCCTTCTTCCCCACTATCTGCTCCTATCTGCTCGGGGCGGGGGTGGGGGGGGAGTGTAAGGATGTGGGGGTCGGACAGATGTGGAAACCTATCACCACGGTTAAGAGTTTTCAAACCATGGCTGGAGAATTTCACATAATGTATGCCACCTACACATGGAAATTTCTGTGCGTCTGGAGCTGGAATGCACTCTCCCTCTCCCTGGAGGGATGCACACAGCTTAGGTAATTCAGCTGGGTATTAGGCACGGGTTGTCAAATGTGCACTGGGGGTATCTCTGCTGTAATTCAACCGTTTGCCACTGAGAGCTGTGAGTGGGAAGAATCCTTTCCCCTATGTGACCGACCCATCTGCCTTCCAACAAGCTTGCCAACAAGCCAGGCCATTGACCTGTCATCAGCAGTGTCTTGAAGTATTGCGGACCTGCCAGGTTCATGAACCAGATTGCCAGACCATCGCAGAGAGTCGACTCGATACTAACATTCCTTTGCGAAGTTTGTGCTCTTGGAGTCAGCTCAGCTCCAAGGCGCCCCCGCTGACCTCCCACCTCCTCAGCAGGACAGATATTTGATATCTGACAAGCACAAGTATGAAACTTCAGTAGGTGGATAGCAAGCATCAGGACCTCCTTGTGAGCTTTCTAGTGGGAAACGCAGCTCAGCATGAAATGTGTGAGAGCCCGTCACCATTCTCCTGCCTACAGCTCAGACACACACTCTTACCCATTAAGTGATGGATGCACTGATTGACGGTGTGGATACCAAGGACGAGATATACAAATGTTTGTTCACAAACACAGAATGGACAAACAGAGACTGGCTCAAAAATAACTTTTCTCTGTTTTATCCTATCAAAACCAGACAACCCTAATTCTGAGCTCTTCATGACTGTGATGTCCTTTCTATAGTGTATTTTCATACTTTGAATCCAACCAGATGGACGAGATCTATACCTTAAAAAAAACAATAATTGGCCACTTAATCCACAACTGTTTATAGGATGGATGGATGTAGGTGGGTGGAATTAGTTGTCAGATTTTGCCCACAAAATATACAGTCAATTCACTTTACAGTATATGTGCATCCATGGATGCACACTCCACCTCACTGAGCCAGTCCGTAACTTTGGCATCTTGATTGATCCTTAACTGTCCTTTTCTATTCAAATCCGTGCCTCCACAACCACTGCAACATCACTCGGCTCCGCCACTGCCTCACCCCCTCAGGCCACCAAAACCCTCATCCTCGTATTTATCACATATAGGTTTGACTACGCCTTCATAACTCTTCCCTCCACAAGCTGCAGATCATTTATAACTCTGCAACTCGTGTCCTTTCCCGCACCAGGCTCCGTAACCTATCACTCCCACCCTCACCTGCCTCCACTGGCTCCCCATCCCCCAGAAGATAGAGTTCAAAATTCTCGTCCTTGCCTTCAAGGACCCCATGGCCTCGCTCCTCCCTACCTCTGTGACCTGCTAACCGCATATCAACCTGTCCACTCCCTCCATTCAGCAGGCCCCGGCTTCGTTCCCTCATTCCCTCCCTTGCCTCTTTCATGGCACATCTCAAGATCCTCCTCTTCAACCGTGCCTTTGGCCACCCTCCTAACCCCCTGCCTTCCACTCCTCCTGATCCCAACCCCCAGCTCGGGTTCAAATCCCTGACTGTCCAGTGCTTTGGGATGTCCTCCCGATATGAAAGATGCTATACAAATGTAATTTTTTTATTTTATATTCTGTGAAGCGCTTTGAGACATCTCAGCAACATGGTAAGGCGATATATAAAAATGCATGGATAATCATAATTATAATTATTATTATATTGGTTATTTCCAATCCTATACCCATATTCCCACTTTTGTGCTTTCAGTAAGTAGCTTGGAAATCTGCAGTACTGTAGGAGGCCATTCGATCCATTATATTATTGCAATTTTATGGTCATTATGATTTTTAGCTCATGTGAAAGAATTGTATCAGCTTAATTTTTAAAATATTATTCAACTAGCAGCTGTTCAAAAGAAGAAGTATGCAGTTTTTTGTAGAGTCTTACATATTTCTACTGATAGTAACTTTTATTTTCGAAAGAGATAACCACTTCCTTGTATGTGGAGTCCTGTAGCTCAGTGGTTAGAGCACTCGCTTTGGAAGCGAGAGACCTGAGTTCAATTCCAGGCAGAGGGCGAAATCTTGGGCAAGTTTCCTTACTCCACACAGAGCCTAATAATAATCCCTCCAAAACCAAAAAAAAACAATAATAAATTGGTCATTTTCAATCCACGACTGTTTGTGGGACATTGCTGTGCACAATTGGCCGCCGCGTTCGCCCACAAATATACAGTCAATTCACTTTACAGTGTGTTCTGTGAAGCGCTTTGGGACGTCCTCCCGACGTGAAAAGCGCTATATCAAATGCAAGGATTATTATTAGTAGTAGTAGTAGTATTATTATTATTATTATGTTCTTTCAGTGTTTCAAAATAAAATCCAACTGATTTGTAATCTATTGCAATGATATTTTCCCCCCAAAGAGTACTGTTTCCAATGATCTGACCTTGACAATACAGAGTACAATCAATTCCTGGTAAGTTCGTTACGCATTTTTTGCCACAAACTTTGTTGATATCAGGAGTTCATAGTTTAAATAAACACAATACTGGTTTATTTTCTCCCCTTCTTTTAGTTGTTTCTTCTGATTAATTTAAAGATAAGGCAATATTGAGAAAAGTATGTTGATATTAGATTCCAGGCAGAGGGCGAAACCTTGGGCAAGTTTCCTTACTCAACACAGAGCCTAATAATAATCCCTCCAAAACTAAAAACAATAATAAATTGGTCATTTTCAATCTACGACTGTTTGTGGGACATTGCTGTGCGCAATTGGCTGCCGCGTTTGCCCACAAATATACAGTCAATTCACTTTACAGTGTATTCTGTGAAGCGCTTTGGGACGTCCTCCCGACGTGAAAAGCGCTATATCAAATGCAAGGATTATTATTATTATTATAATCTCTGTGTTGTGAATCATTGTTTCTTGCTCTGCACACAACACTTAGTTCCAGGATTATTTGAGAATTTCTATGACTTTCCTACCTCTTTAAGAATAGAAGAAAAGAACTCTAGGAGTTTTCAGGAACACACTGTAAACTGACATCCAACATATGAGAACCAATCATTTCCAAAGTGTATCACAATTCTCCAAGATTCAACAGCCCATTTCAACAATCAGTTCTGCTCCCAGCTAAGGCAGCAAGCCCAGCTGGTAATCATGGGGCTGGAAAGAAAATCTTATGTTCTGGACATAAATAAGCTTTCTGTTTTATGCCATCAACAAATCCACCAATTTCACTGCAACTAAAATGTATGTTTTACAATTAAGAAAAATCAAAAAGTGCCAAATTGCATTTAAACAGCATAAACAAGTGCTCCAAGATGCTGTCTGGCGTGAAGGTCGTTATATAAATGCAAGTTGTTGTTGTTGATTAGACAGTGTTACAGAATTAATATAAATACACTTAATCTATTGGAATATTATAGTACAGGATATACAGAATATACCACAACAACAACAACAACAAGATTCCATTTATAAAGCGCCTTTCACGTCAGGAGGACGTCCCAATGCGCTGCACAATTGGGTCATGACCCGAGCAGGGGGGAAATGGTCAGGGTGAGGGGAGGGAAGGGAGGGAGGAGGAGGGGGAAATGGTCAGGGTGAGGGGAGGGAAGGGAGGGAGCGAGGAGGGGGTAGAGAGTCGAGAGGGGAGCTGAAGGCACGGTCAAAGAGAAAGGTTTTGAGACCGGCCTTGAAGGAGGAAAGGGAGGAAGCAAGGCGAAGGCACTGGGGGATGGAGTTCCAGAGCCTGGGGGCTGAGAGGCTGAAGGCCCGACCACCGATGGTAGGGCGGTTGGGGCGGGGGACGTGGAGCAGACCGGAGCCAGAGGAACGGAGGGTACGGGCAGGTAGGTAGGGGGATAGTAGGTTGGAGAGGTAGGAGGGAGCAAGACGGTGAATGGCCTTGTAGG